GATGCTAAAATTGAGTCAAGAATGGGAAAAGTAAATAAGGCTAGAAATGTCCTGGCTGCACCATTCTCTGTGCAAAGCAAACGTACTGGTCCAAAGACAGCCCAGAGTGGGCATGTGCTCCTGTCAGAGAACACACCAGAACACCCTCTCCTACTGAGGAGGCCAGCCAGACTGGACTTCACAGATGTGACAAAGGTCTTAAGCATGGGCGGGAGGATGTCACCAATGCAATGGATGTATTTGCTCTACATGGTTACACTCTGTCTGTGCTCATACAAAGCACACATCTCTCCCACTGGCAATCCAACTCTTCAGCAACACTTCATTTGCTCAGGAAAACTATCGTGGAATCAAACTAAAGCTGAAAAAATGATCATACTGGTTTTGCTGGTAGCAACTGAGTTTCCACAACAGTATCAGAACAGTTTCTGTATTGCTGAAGACCTCTGGTTTAACAGACTCAGAAGCTTCTAAAACAAGATTTTTCTCTTGCTAAGTATTTTTTTTTTAATATCCCTGAAGAATATCTACTTTCTGTAACAAGTAGCTGAGATGCTCAAGTTTAGTAGATTCTCATCTTACAGAAGTGTCTCCTTTTAGAAGTCTCTTAATTCTTTTAGCACAATATGAAAGTGCTTTCTCAAGGCATCAAAATTTATCTGGCATCAAATTTATCTGGCATCAAAAGCTACTAGCTTTCATGGCATGATTATTTATTATCAAAGCAGAGATAATAAATTTCACTAGATAAAGTGGATGACCCTCGTAAGAAGATGAATTAAGAGGTTTTTTTATAAGCACTTCAGTTGAAGAAAATAGATTATACATCTATGGGGGTAAGATGTGATCTACAGAACACTACTGGCTTGATAAAAAGAATCATCTGTGACTTACTAGGCTGTGTTCTTCACCTAGTCACCATAGATAGCACACTGATTTTCAAGCTAGATCCTCTGATATGTGTTCCCACGACTGAGGATTCTCTATACTAGAACTTTCAAAGGCTCACATGAGCAATTTTTGCTGCTCATCCTCCATGGGGCTCACAGCATTCCACATCATCTATCAGGCTTTCAGGCCAAATGAGGGAATGTGGTGTGAGTCAGCCAGTCCTTGCAAGAATTCTCTCTCCCTCTGCGATGCAGGGCACGGAGAGCAAGGTGACAGAGGAGAAACAGCTCCATTCAGCACCACCCAAAGCCACTGTGTGTGTGAGCCTGGAGGAAGCACCAGGCAGCTCTGTCTTTCCTGGGACACAGACAATTATCTCTTGGATAGCCTGGCATTAAAGCAGAGTATTACCTAACGTGGAAAAAATTTTTTTACTGTGAGGGTGGTCAGACACTGGAACAGGTTGCCCAGAGAAGCTGTGGCTGCTCCTCCCTGGAAGTGTTGAAGGCCAGGCTGGATGAGGCTTTGAGCAACCTGGTCTAGTGGAAGGTGTCCCTGCTGCTGGCAGGGGGGTTGGAACTGGATGAGCTTTAAGGTCCCTTCCAACCCAAACCAGTCTGGGATTCTGTGCTACAGCTGCATCCCTACTTCCTACCCCTAAATACTCTTAGTGCTATAGAATAACTGCTTAACTTGGTTCTCTATATAAGCGATGCACAGAGTGCCCTTATGTTACCTGTCATTTTAAATAATCTCCCTCATCAGGTAGGACAAGTACTGAAAACTCCCCAGGTCTGCTTATGGGCACCAATGAAATACCACCACATGTGCTGATCTCACCTGTGTCCACGATGGCTCTTGAGTGACTGTGAACCTTAAGCACCTCTTTGTTTCTATGGAAAGGAATGGGAACCTTTCCATACTTCTATGAATTGCACAAAGGCAATAGCTGTTTTGTTGGGTTTTTTTTTTACAGTGCTAAATAATTTTTTTTAAAAGTGAAAAAATAAAAAGGGTTGTCCTTACTCTTTTACAGCTGCTCATCAGGTGGCTCTTCTCTTTGGATGGGGGGACAAAGCCACTCCATGGAATATCACTGGAAGGCAGTTCTTTTCCTCAAAGAAGAAAATGCACATCACAAATCACATACAACTTGTTGTGAAACAGGGCAATCGAAGAACAGGCTCCTTGCCACGACAACTCCCCGAGACAGCTGCTATAATCAACCTGACTGAGCTGAAGGCTCAGCCTCTCCCTCATGCCTTCACTGGAGGGTTTGGCCCTGGGCTGTGACATGCTGTGGGTACCCAAGTACCATTCAGCCATGAGCAGCACCAATCTACTGCAGATCTGTGCGTGCCATAATCATCCAGATGGAGGAACTGCAGAGTGCATCGTGCTTCTCTGCTTTCAGGTCTCAGTTCTCCTCCAGTGGGAAAAAAACAAGGACACAGAGCAGGATGGGACATGTCACTGTCTCATCCTAGCAGAACGCATCCTGAATCCACATTGCAAGCTAGACAAAATGCTTGTGGGCCCCAGTGCTCTCGGGCAGTCAGTGAAATCAGAGTTACACACAACCTGAGCCCTGTGGTAGTCTAGAGAGTGCACAGAACAGGATGTGGAGGAACAGAAGAATTAATGGCTTCAGAAATGGGTTCAGCTCCATTAGTGCCTGCACAGTGTTTTTTCTCCACCCAGTCTCATTTACACACACAATATACATTTTTGTGCAATTATAATAAATACTATTTATTT